GCCTCAAACAACCTAATAAGTATGGTTTGTAAGTCTTTGGGGCAAACCATATAGCCTTGGGGCATTGTGCCCGTGGGTTTAAGCGCGCCAAACGCTTGTTTACTAAGGAAACCTTGGCCTTTCCGTTTACGGAGATATGTATGTTTGAAAAAATAATGAGATATTCATCATTAAATCGGAAAAAAATGTTCTGGTCTCGTTCCAATGAATAAGTGTTTACGTTTCCAGGATCAAATCAATCCTGGCATCGTTGTCCATTTCTGCCAAATAACGATTAAAAAGGGGTTTTGTAAACATGCGTTTCGGGTCTTTCCTTACGACCGAGCTTTCCACACCCCCCCTTTTCGGTCGCTAAATGACTGCAGCATTCATCTGCGTAAATCTCTTTTTTTTCTTCAAAATTGAAATTATTAGTGGGGGGGCTGTTCATCTGCGCCTCCAACGTTATGTTTAGCTCACAAAGTAGACGCAGACTCACGCAACAATCTCTACGTGATCCTCCTTCTCCCTCGGTGTTGCGGGCGGAGATGTGGCAAAAAGAGAAGCGACTCCAGAAGGCCAGACCTGATAGCCGCCAGCGTCGGCACAATGAATCGGGGTACCGCCACCGGAGCAGTGGTCACCCACCACCTTATGGTAGTCATCACCGTAGGGTGAGGGTGTCTGAGTCTTTGCACGCAGGACAGACTCCACGCGTGTTGGGGGTGGTGGGGGAAGACAAGCGCGTGTGGAGCTGCGAGGCATCTCCGGCGAACAGGCTGGAGAAACGGGCGCAAAAGAAACCAAAAGTCAGATTCATAAGAGAATCCACAGGGGGAAGAGAGACCTTCAAGTGATAGATTAGACAATGTCAAGAGGTTAAGAGACACGACCGGAGCGGTCTTCAGCTTATTTGCCACCTCAGATGACCAATCACTACATAGCGTAAGGCCTCAGTTGACATGATAACCCGTGCTGGTTGCTTGTCTGTCCGCCTTTCAGTAAATTACTGTCTCCCATAGTTCAAAGTGTATGCATCTAGTGTAGGATACAAACGCTTGGACGGGTGCCTTTACGACATCCAACGCCAGTGCAGTAGTCACAGCTTAACGAACCACAGTAGGTTAGTTACACTGCAAGGTCGACAATGACACACAAATAGCGGCAAAGACACAAGCTTCAGATTCTTATTGAAGCAAAGAATATCAGTCGCCGGAACTGTGCAGTGTACTTATAATGGCACTTTTGGAAACGCAGAGGAGCCCAGTTTCTTAATTTAAATAAATCATGAGCACCTCTATCGACATTTGCATAAGTTAAGTACAAGGTTTTTCTGCAATGGAAGTTGGGTTGGCAGAACATACAAGTGCAAACAGGACGGTTAAACTTGGCCTCTGGCCACCACTCGCTCGCCCCCGCACCACGCTCATTTACCCACAACCATCATTCGAATAATACAAGCACGAAAAGACTAAACTGGTCGACAATGTTTGCTCGACTGCTGGTTCCGCCACAGGAAGAGTGCAAAACTCTTTGGCACACAGCAAGACTGTCCTTTGAAAAAGATTATCGTATGGGGGGGAGAGAGAAATAATAACGAAATGCTACCTGGACATGCAGTTGCTGCCGAGCTTCACACACAGGCCAAAAACCGACCACGCCGGACCATTAAAAGGGAAGCCTGTGCGTGTTTGCGCGCGGTGCGGCGAGATGGTCGGTTGGCAAACGTGGGAGTTTTGGCCGGCAGAATGCTGCGTCGGCGGCCGTTAGCCAATCAAAAATCGGGCAAGCGCAACTGGATCAGTTCAGAACGCGGCATTCGAGATTTAGCGAGAACAGCAACAGTAGCAGCAGCTGCTGCGGCATCGGTGCGTCAGCGAATGCTGACAAAAAGAGCAACATGGCGAAGGGTGGGCGAAATCGCTTGGGCTTGATTCACTAGCCGACGATGATCGCGGGTGTGCAAAGGTCACCGAATTCGGTGTAAACACAATTACCGCGATTAGAGTACGCCGTGCTCATCACCGCTGAATTCAAACAAACGTGTGTTTGTACAGCACATGTACTGCTGTGTGGCGATAAAGGTGCCGGAGCACTTAAAGCCTAATGGGTGTAAGGGTAGCTGTGGAGGACCCGACCCTTGTACCCAACACTCGTCAGCAAATAATGCCCACCCGATGGTTTAAGCCTCAATCGTTCAAGATGCCAGAGGCCGTGGCACATCAGCCAACTATATTTTTGGGGCATTAAGGTAAACAACGAAGCGGAATCGTCAAGACCTCGTCTAACGCGTGTCATCAGTGTCGTACTAAGAATGAGTGTCCCTAAACAGGTCGAGTGGTAGAAGCGGTGGACCAACATGGGTGCTAGATCAGGTCACGACAGGCGTTATTCGGGCTGCGCTCCGATAACACATATGTCGCACATATGGGAGGGGCGGAGCGTTGGCTTAGGTGCAGGCTCGGGCACCAGCCACCTTTATAGAAAGCCCCCTGTGACATCTGAGTCAAACTTAGCGATTCGGGCTCCCTGCATCTGATCCCGGCTACGGTATTCTTGGCGTTGTCATGACACCGGGGTCGGGTGAGTGAGGGGATAGTGTGGTAAACGCAGCGTAAAAGTACTATTCCTTAAAACTAATCCACGTTAAAGTCACCGCCCTGCACTACCAAGCTGTGGAGTACACGGTAGATATTGTCGTAATCGACGGTCAAAATGAGTTAGTGCGCCCAGATGCTCATCCCTGAGGACCGTATGAACCGGTCAGCTGGCCGCCTTACATAACGCAATGTTTAGCTTGCCAGACTCAATATGGTGAGGAACGTGTCGATTCTCTCTTCCGCCCTCTTACGTGCATCTGTGACCTCTTCGAGACTGTAAGCTGGCCGATGACGCCACTGACGTGGATTGAGCCGCTGCTTACCGCTTGTTTTGAGTGCGCCCACACAAACAGAAGTTTGTCCGTCAGCGATGCCTGAAGAATGGGGAGCCCTAATAGTTGCGCATATGACAGGGAAAATCCATGCGTTGATTGTGTGGGTGTGGTGGAACGGTGTGAGCCTAGGTGAGTGTTGTGTCCCCCCCCCCTAAACGGG